AATTTAATTTAATTTAATTTAATTTAATTTAATTTAATTTAATTTAATTTAATTTAATTTAATTTAATTTAATTTAATTTAATTTAATTTAATTTAATTTAATTTAATTTAATTTAATTTAATTTAATTTAATTTAATTTAATTTAATTTAATTTAATTTAATTTAATTTAATTTAATTTAATTTAATTTAATTTAATTTAATTTAATTTAATTTAATTTTTTAAACCTCAAAATAAAACTGTACATTTTTGGTAGGTGCTGTAATCCTCTGCGTCATTAATGCATATTTAAGTTTGCTGTATTTTCACCTTAGGTGTGCATTAATTCTGTTTTTTCTTTTCTTCTTTTCTGTTTGATTTAATTTAATTTGATTTAATTTAATTTAATAATTCTTAATTAATTCTGTTTTTTTCTAATTTAATTTAATATTTTTTATTTTGTTTCATTTCATTTCATTTGTTATTTAATTTTATTTTATTTTTCAAATTCAAAATACAGCTGTAAATTCTTGGTAGGTGCTGTAATCCTCTGCGTCATTAATGCATATTTAAGTTTGCTGTATTATCGCCTTAGGTGTGCATTAATTATGTTTTTGTTTGTTTCTTTGTTTTTTCATTCAAAATGCAGCTGTACATTTTTGGCAGGTGCTTTAATCCTCTGCGTCATCATGATTATGACCTTTTACGAGATTTACGGCAGCACCGTATTTAGCCTCACTAAGACGCAGCACTCGACATGCACGGATGTGATGTTGGGATGTACTCTGGGCATCATGGGAAAGGATGAAGTCGTGCGTGTCGCTGAGGCTGTGGTGAGACGGTACCTGCACGAGGAAGCCGTACTCCAGCGTGGGGATGTTCTTGCAGTGTCCGCCCGCCTGGGATGAGAAAAACAACTCAATCAGCTGGCGGGTGGTAATCTGCGCAGGGGCCCTGCCCGCCGGGACAGCCACAGTCTGATGGGTTAACGGAGACAAAGCATTATGGGAAAGGTGCCAGCCAGCCGTGTTAGGCGAGGGGGGTGTCGGAGGGCAAAGAGGCTGAGGGCTGGGATGAGGGATAGTGCATCCATGTTTTATCTGGAGGCCCTAGTGAGGGGTCACGGGTATGGAGAAGCGAGGAGAGAGTGTTTGGAAAGGAAAGCGTGCAGTCGGGGAAGACGGGATGCTGACCTGGCTGTTCGGAGGATAGCTAAACAGCTCCCCCTTGGGGTTCTTCATGGTACAGGAGATGGAGCGGTTCATGAGCCGGGTGACTCTGAGCTCGGGCACGTTCAGTTTGCCTTTCAACACTGTGTCCTGGATCAGGGGGAAACTGGGAGACCTGGAGCCAAGATGGAGGCCACAGCCAGCGGATGAGTTCACGCTGGAATTACCTTAATTATGCTTGCCGACTAGTAGAAAGCAGAACTTGCTTTAAACTGACTTCTTATTGAAGTATTTTTGTCTCGTTTTCCAGTACAAACATCTAACCATTTTTAATTAAACACATTAACTTCAGTAGCAAAATGATATAGGAGACTAACTCTTATTTTGTAAAAAATGCATCAAAATGAAATAGGTTTTTGCTTAAAACATGAAAAAATAAATTTTAATGGTGTCAGAAAAATAAACTTGTTTTCCCATTAAATTTAGTTTATTTTTCTGACCCCACTGACAGATATCTTTTCTTGTTTTAAGCTTAAACTCACTTTATTTTTTTATAAATGTTTTACAAAACAAGACATCATTTCTTTTGTTGACTTGTTTACTTTATCTTTTATTTACTTGAGAAGCAAAATAATAAAAGATATTGGCTTGAAAATGCATCAAAATTAAATTCGTTTTTGCTTAAAACAAGACAAAAAAAAATCTGCCAATGGGGTCAGAAAAATAATCTTGTTTTCCCTTTAAATTAGGTTTATTTTTCGGAGACCATTGCAGATACTCATTTTAATATAATATAATATAAAAATGACAAATATACAAAACAGATTTTTTTTTTTTTTTAATAAAGCTCAACAGTCGGGCTCAGGAAGCAAAATCGTCATTCAAAATCTCCTTAAAATAAATCTTAATTAAACTAAACCTTTCATTGCAGACCTAACAGTATATGACAATGATAGCCCTCCTGTAGCTCAAACAGCACGGCATTAGCAACACTGCATTGCTTTCAATTCCCAGTGAATGCATGAATCGAAAAAATATATATAGCTTGAATGCAAGTGTACACAACTATGCATAAAAGTGTTTGCCAAATGCATGAATGTAAATGTAAATATAATGTGACAATACGTCATTTCAAAACAAATCCTGTTTAAATGCAGAATTCCAGGTGAGGAACTTCACTACCCATAATCCTGAAGCCAAATAAGTTGCGGTTACCACGGAAACAATAAATCCTGCAGTGGATTTATGGAGCCTAACTAGGTAATTATATACTGTGAGTCAGTATGGGACGCTGTAGCAATCATGTACCTTTGTTGTTTAAATTTTATTACTTTTTTTTGCTTGTAATGTTGTGATCATTCTGAAGTTTGGTTCATTGCTTCAAACTGATTATTGAATTGAAGAGTTCCCTATAGAGAAAATGAATGGGAAAACACTTCCAGCCGATCACTGTTGAGCCCTATTTCAGATGCATCAACCACGATCAGATTGTTAGCGTGTATGACGTGTGTTTTCATATCAAACGATAAGGACGTACTTGGGAATCGGGGAGAAGATGCTCAATCCTGCACGAAATTTCTTGATGGTTCCTCCGGCTTTGAACCAGCTGTGTCGCTTCTCCTGCTGGGCTTTGAGGAACTCATTACTGAGGTGCTTCCACTGCTGCGACGTGAACGTACTGAGGATCCTAGAAACACCAAAACAAGCTTCAGCTTTATTTTGACAGTCTTTCATTACAGTTTCTGTTCAATCAATCAATAATCAAACAAACAGAGTGACTCATAATAAAACTGTAGTGAACAAGATTCTTTTTGAAAATTATTGTTTCAGTTCTAGATGCTGATTGGCCAATCCAGTGTTCCAGTTGTGCTAAAATACACATAATACACACTACCAATGAAAATATTTTTTTAATGCTTCTGCTCACCAAGGCTGCATTTATTTGATCAAAAATACTGTAAAAATGTTAAATAATATTATAATTTCCAATAGCTGTTTTCTATGTGAATATCTGTTAAACTGTAATTTATTTCAGTCAATTTTCAGCATCATTACTCCAGTCTTCAGTGTCACATGATCTTCAGAAATCATTCTAATATGCTGATTTGCTGCTCAAGAAACATTTCTAATTATTATCAATGTTGAAAACAGTTGTGCTGCACAATATTTATGTGGAAACGTGACACATTTTATTTTGCAGGATTCAGATCAGTAGAAAGTTCAAACACTGCAAAAAAAAAAAGGCTTATCTTAGCATTTTTGTCTTGTTCCAGGCAAAAAAAAAAAAAACTAAAGTAAGTGCATTTTGCTTAAAACGAGTAAAATTATCTGCCAGTGGGGTAAGTAAAATATTCTTAAAACAAGAGTAATTTACTCAACCCCACGGTCAGATACTTTTACTTATTTTAAGCAAAATGCACTTAATTTAGTTTTTCTTTCCCCTGGAAACAAGACAAATTATCTTGTCATTTTGCTTATCTAGTAAATGCATCTTAATTTAAGAATTTTTAGATATTTTGACTGGAAACAAGACAAAAATACTAAGATAAGCCTGTTTTGCAGTGTAAAGAACAGCATTTATTTGAAAAATAATTATTTATTTGACTTTACTCTCACTTTTGATCAATTTAATGCAGCCTTGCTGAATAAATCAATTACAATGACTCCATAAGAAACCATAAAATAAGCAAATCTTTCTTTTAATTCAATATGATCGCCAGTATGTTGACTTACTTCTTTAGTTGAAGGCCCAAACTGAAGCTTTCTTTATTGGACGGCTGAAACACCTCCACAGACGGTTCTGTAGGAATAAATTGAATAAAAGTAGTGTAAAGTAAACACACAGGCACAGAAATGCAGACGCTTCTCACCTGGTCCATCCAAATACTGTGAAAGAGAGAAACGGAGGCGTAAGACGATGGGCTCCGTTCGGATCACCTTCCATGCGGTCGCCACCTCCTCCTGCAAACACACAAATCACTTTATTCCCATTTCAACATCTGTTTATGAAGTGAAGTAGCTTGTATAGGAAGTGTGTGGTCTCACATCCAAGAAGCCGATGTTGATTTGCAGGTCGATGTCCACGTCATCGATGGTGCCGTACTCTCTGCAGGAAGAGCAGCAGACTCAGAATGAAAGTGAATCGGGTGTGAATGCACAGATCTGAATCAGATGCGGAGTGAGGGTCGTTCTCACCTGACGGACACAGCGCTGTCCGTGTAAATGTCTTTTACAGCCTCGATGTCAGCGTCCAGCTGTGGGTGACGGTACAGGTCGGCTGCACAGCTCCCCTACAGGTGGACAGCGATATTACACATTATTAATTGTGAGCCTGGAGCACAAAAGCAGTCTTAAGTCGCTGGGGTATATTTGTAGCAATAGCCAACAATACATTGTATGGGTCAAAATTATACATTTGTCTTTTATGCCAAAAATCATTAGGATATTAAGTAAAGATCATGTTCCATGAAGATATTTAGAAAATTTCCTACCGTAAATATATCAAAACGTAATTTTTGATTAGTAATATGCATTGCTAAGAACTTCATTT